GGGGGCAATATGCTGACTCTGTAAACCGCTTAGAGAGGGCTGAAAGCCCTATGAAGCGGTATATAAGTCTAACTGCTATTGCTATTGCTATCCACTTACCTTTTTTATTATTAATTTGTTTGTTTCTTTGTAATAGCAAAGACACCTTTGTCTGTATTGGACTCCATGAAGGTGACCCTACCTGGAAAAAAGACTATTCCCTTTGGCCCTGGGGCTCTTGTGATAAACTTGTATCTTCAAAAGTTCCCTTTGATCCTGAAATGTGGGTTGAGCGTACCCAAAACCTCTACAACTGGACTGAGGAATATGGCAGGTTAGTGACACATAGTTGACAGTAGCTTCTAAAAAGTTGCAAGAAGGGAGTTGGATGAGTGCTAATTCTTTTTGTCATTAGTGAAGATATAGTGGTAGCATCAAAGGTATGTTTGGTATGGATCAGTGGTGGGTTCCGGATCCACATGGGCACACGCATGCGTCTTAGCATGCCTCCATGAGCTTCTGCAACGCTCCAGCTGCTCATCGGAGCGTCGCGCAGGTGCTGTACACGCCGTGCGTGGAAGTGCCAAAGACTTAAAAGACCGGTAAGGAGCTCAGGCGGGTGGGTGGGCCCTCCGGAGCACCGTACCGGAATGGTATTTGGTGCTCCGGGCAGGCTCCGGTACGCCCATACCGGGGCGTACTGCCTGCCATCCCACCACTGGAATGGATCCAGAGAGGTTTGGATAGAATCGCTAATGGAAATGAAGGGATAACATCATCTTACTTGTTCCCATTTCCTCAACTTTATCTGGAAAGTTTTAGTTATCCTGTTCATGCTCTGTCTTTGGGGGCCTCTACCTGGTCTTGCATATCAATTTACCTGCTTTTTTTAAGGTTTGACTCATCTTCCTGGGAGTTGGTAGCAAATGAAGAGATGTGGCAAGCCAGGTGAGAGCCTGTTTCCTTCCCATGTTTCAGAAAAAGTCTGAAAGAGAGGATAATTGTATCAATCTATATACAAATTAATTATATTGCACATTGCAGCACTGAGCAGGTAAAACTCAGAGGAAGCATAATGACAATCTAGGGAAGCTGGTGTCTAGCAGAGGATGGAATATTAACTTCAGTTAATGAATTAAGACAATTGGTGCCCTTCAGATGTTCTGGAGTACAGTTTTTAATGCCATATCCAGTAAACACCAGCTCAGTATAGTGAACAATCATTCCATGTGCCATCCCATACTTGGGTAGACTCAGGTTTCCCTGATAAAAAACATTTAATCCACCCCTAGTATAGCTGCCAAAGCAAGGAGAACCTGTGGCTTAGAGGTTAATACATCTACCTAATATGTAAGTAGCCCGGGTTTGAATCCCAGAAGGATATGGTTAGCTGACGAGAGCTAAATAGCTTGAAATAGATCTACACTAGTCTCCCTTTATTTCTTTGTCGGCAAATATGAATTCAACACAATCATTCCATGGGGAAGTGAATCCTACCTCCTCCTCCATGGATGCCAGTTGGTGTTTAAAGAATATACAGTTCACTTCTGTTGTTGTTTTTTCCCCCCTCCTAGGATGAAAACAGCCTTCTTTCTTTTTGACCTTGCAGAAACTGGTTCCACATCTGTGGAAGAGAAAGCAAAGCTTTACATCCTTGCTTATAAGGTGAGAACTTTACACTTTGGGATAGAAAAGCTCAAGCAGTCTATATATTTGCACAGGGATAAGTCACAATTTTGGGACAGGAATCATTTGTAAGTTTGCATTATGTAATGGATGCAGTCAGAAAGTGGCTGCAGTATGAAACCTAGCTATACACAAAATGGGTGTCAGGGTAGGTCAGTGTTAATGCACCTGTTTAGACTTTGTGTTTAGATGTGTGAATTTCAACTTCCAGAATTCCCAAGGCAGGTGATGGCTGGGAGTTGCTGGGAGTTGAGATCTACACATCTTAAAATTGTCAAGGTTGAGAAACACTGCCCTAGATTATTATGAGGCTCCCTCTCAAGGGATTATTATGCACTCAAACATCCCTGAAAATCATTATGTTGCTAGGGGCTGAGGCTTTATAACAGACCAGCTTCATATTTAATTTTTTTTATTAAATAAACTTTATTTAAAATGTCCTTTGGGCACCAAGGGATGGGCCTGAGGTCTGGGTGGTATCTATATGGTTGATTAGTGTTGATTTTTCCACTGGTTCCAGTCATCAGATCAATTTATATAAAACTAGCTGATAACATGTCGTTGCCTGGGTATTTATTTATAGGGGGAAAATATCCCGACCAAACGCAATTTCTAATATTGGATTTTCCTCCTTACCAGAGAGAGACCCCTTGGGGACTACTGTTAAGCCGTTACCATGGCAACTTCACTATGCTGTACAGTAGAAGCCATTTTACGGCAGTACAGTAGAAGCCATTTTAAGGCACAACAGAACACACACCTCGAGGGATGTTAGGGGTGTCTTACCACCACAGTATTTTTTTTCAGAGAGTAAATCATCTATGTATTAAGTTTGGGAATCAAACCTGGGCTGTATTACATATTAGGCAGTTATATTAGCCACTAAGCCACAGGCTCTCCTCCTTTATCAGCTAAGCCAGAGATATGTATCTATGTAGGTAGGTAGGTAGGTAGGTAGGTAGATGATAGATAGATAGATAGATAGATAGATAGATAGATAGATAGATAGATAGATAGATAGATAAGATAGTACAGCTGCAACCAGGAGATCTATTTCCATCTGTCTGACCACTAGGCATAAGTCCGGGTTGGTATCTTTTCCTCCCTGCCATTACCTGCTTTAGGGCTCCGAATAAGACATGACAGCTACAGGATCCAATCTGAGTCACTCACAGAGACCAGAGTTTTAGTCTTCTAAACTTTCGGACTCATGCTGAAGCCCATCCTCAGGGAACTTCTCTCTAGCAGAATGTTCCTGCAGAGAGAAGTTCCCTGAGGATGGGCACCAGCACAAGTCCCAAAGCCTGGAAGACTAAAACTCTGGTCCCAATGACTGACCCAGATTGGATCCTGCAACATTATCCTGGGATACATATATTCGCCTTCATTCGCGAGGGCATGATAGCTGTTTCTACCTCACTGCTCTTGAGTGCTGCCTCTATATAGCTGGAAAGATTGTCCTTCACTTTGCCCCAGAACTGTGGGACCTTTTCACTGTCCTGTAGTAGCAAGCCAGATGCAACAGCTAAGCTTACTTGGGGAGGTTATCCAGGGGTGGGCTTCAAACAGTTCAGCAACAGGTTCTCGGCCCAGCTGCTGAGTGGGCGTGGCCATGATGGGCGTGGCCTAGTCAGCTTCCTGCACCATGGCGTGGTTTTCGCTTTCCCCAGGCTCCTGAGGCTTTCCTTGAGCCTCTGTGGAGGGTGAAAACTGACTCCTTCGGGCTCCGGAGGCCCTCTGGAGCTTCCAAGAGACCCAGTTTCCCCTCTCTGCGAGTCTCTGTGTGGGCACTGCACTTACCTCTCATCCAAAATGGGCCGCATGGAGACTCCTGGGAGGAGTGGGGTGGGGTGGATGGGGCCAGCCAGGGATTGGATTTGGAGGTTCTTCAAACGGGCCATAACATTAGCTATGGGTTTCTCCCAAACCCAGGCAAACCCGTAGCTGCCCACCCCTGAGGTTAGCAGACTAGTGGGATGGCAACTGTGAAAGCCTGCTTAAGGTAGTGCCTTGAGGTTCCAGTAGAAGAATAGGACCAAGTCCTCATCTACAACTTGTAGAACCCAAGCAGAATCAGGAAGCTATTCCCAGCGAGCAAAGGCAGACCCATGGCCGATTAGCTAAAGAATAATATCTCAGCAAGTTTCCTATGTCTCCCCCTCTCCTCCCCCCCTCCCTTAGGAACTTTGCTCATGGTTTGCTACCTGCAGGTCTTGTAATTGTGTGAATATGAAAAAGATGGGTGTTGATTCTGTTATCAGTAGCAACTCAAGCACACATACATTTTTTTCTTTCCCCTCTCCCACGTTGGAAAAAAAAATGGTGGCTTAGCAATAAAATGGATACAATTTAGAGGAAATAACCCAAGTTCATTTCTTTTCTTTTGCTGCTTTCATAGGCAGAATGGCTCCACTAGAAATAAAACACATATCTTCGGTTCATTGTTGCTTATTCCTCACCCTTTTTGCTCTCTGGCTTCTCTCTCTTACTTCTCTCTTCCAGTTTACCTTTCAGATTTATCCTTGGGATTATTATTCTTTAGTTTCCCCTTGAGAATCCTACATCTTTATTCCTCTTTTCAGTTGGATGACATCAGAGCAGTATGCCCAATCATCAGCCGCACACATGAAACCTCTTAGCTCAAATCCTATACACACTGACTGGGGAGTGCTTAGCAGAGCTTATTTCTGAATAGAAATGCAGAGAGTTGCATTTCATGGTTTAAAACATATGCTCATAAACGGTGTCCTATTTTACTTCACTTGCAGAGGCTTTATTTTATATAGATGCTGTTTATGCCAAGCTTGACTGCTTTAAAAAAAAAAAGTGAGCAAATATTTGTAACACGGGGGAAATGATATCTCTGAGATTCCTCTTCAATCCTGAACCGTCTCCTGTGATTTACAGCTGTACAAGGAAATTGTAAACACGTACAAAACTCATCCAGTGAACTGGCACAAAAATTACGCCATCGCCTGCGAGAGGGTGCTACATCTTCACCCAGCGAGGGAAGACCCAGAAGTGCTACTCTTAGAAATCATCAAACACTTCCGCTTTTACTTGGAGGAAGCTGCAGATGATCCCCAGCAGAGCAGCATTTTGCAAGCCATAAAGCATATGAAGAAAGAACTTCGGGAAGTGAGAAAACTGAAGAAGGCAGCGAGGCGGCTTGCATAGGATGTGCTGATGAGCTCCAAGGGAAAATTTGTTGGAGAGGAAATGAAGAGTAAGAGAAGGATTCCGTAGATTGTGGGGGGGAAAACAAGCTTAAATGCAGGGTTTTGGATAGGAGGAAAATACTAAATCAAAAGAAGGGGGTGTAGAGAAGCATAAACAAAGGCTGGGGGGGATATGAATTGGGATTTTTCTCCCTTTTGATGTTACAATGTGGGGGGTCATTAAACAAAGCTGAACATTGGAGATTCTAACTGAAAACATCTTAATAAAGTACATTGGTAATTAGAGCCCTGGTGGCGCAGTGGTTAGAATGAAGTATTGCAGGCTAACTGCCCATCGTCTTGAGTTCAATCCTGATTGGCTGAAGGTTGACTTAGTTTTTTATCCTCAGGTATGGTTGACTAGGCACTGTCGTTTGCTGTGAACATGGCTACCAGATAGAACAGGGATGTCAAACTCAATTTTATTAAGGTCCACATCAGAGTTGAGTTTGATTTCAGTGGGCCAGGGTAGGCATGGTCAGCTTAATGTCACTCCTGTTGGGGGTACCTGTGACGTCCCGAGCGCTCTGCCAACGAAAACGGGCTCCCAAGCTCTGTTTCCAGCTGTGATGGCTTCCTGCAATCCTCTGCCAGTGAAAATGGGCTCCCAAGCTCCGTTTTTGGCTGTGATGGCCTCCTGCAACCTTCTGCCAGCGAAAATGGAGCTCAGGAGGGTGCTCCCGAACTCCATTTTCACGAGCAGAGACAACACAGGCCAGTCCTTCGCTGTTTCCAGGGCAGCCCACGGGCCAGATCTAAGCACCCCCTGGGCCGGATCCGTCCCAAGGGCCTTGAGTT